AGATCTTGAGTGTATATGTATTTTAGCCCCCATGGTAGTTTTAATTTAAGTTTAATATTGACTGTATGTTGTTTTTTCAGATAACCGGTTTGTCTTCCTGTCATATCTCTTTGCAGAACCCAGATTCCAAAATGATGCAAATCAACCTGACTGGTTTTTTGAATGGGAAAAATGCTAGGGAGTTCATGGGAGAACTGTGGCCACTGCTGTTAAGTGCACAAGAAAACATTGCTGGTATTCCAACTGCTTTTCTGGAACTGAAGAAAGAAGAAATAAAACAGCGACAGGTAGGGTGGTTTTAATGGAATTGGGGATGAGTGGTTGTGAGCACTGGGCAGAATTGGTGCCTGCAGAACAATTGATGTTTCAGTACACATGTTGTGTTCAGCAGAACTGTTCTGTCTGGGTAGCATATTTTAGTCCTGTTGTTGTTACTCAACGTACATATTTCATAAGGTCTTTGTGATCCTTCTGAGTTAAATGCCAGTATTTGTTTGCACAGATAGAGCAAGAGAAGCTGGCTTCCATGAAGAAGCAAGATGAAGACAAGGAGAAGAGGGATAAGGAAGACAAAGACAACAGAGAAAAAAGAGACAGATCCAGGAGTCCAAGGAGGTAATGAAAATGCCCAGAAAATGTTTCAATAATACTCTAGAACAGAGGGCAGAACACATGGCAACGAAAACATAATTGAACTTTGGCAATACTCCCCTTAGCATTTTAGCAGGCTGGCTGGGGTTGCTGCTGTACAGTAATTGCAAGTAAACTGGAGCAACTTTGGCGTATTGTTTACACTAAGAACTGTATTTGAAGATCTGTTTCAGACTTTGCTTTTTCTGATTTGGGGAGTTTGTTTTTTTCTTTGTTTATTTGCTGTCTTAATTTGCCTGTCAGTTACAAACAGAAAATACACAGTATCTTTACATGTAGTTAAACAGCACCTAGAGTGCCTGATTCAGAGCTTTTAGCTGCCTGACCCCATAGGTTTTGTTACCCTGCACACTTCACTTTGTTATTAAGTGGCATTTCTCCTTCCCAGGCGCAAATCCAGGTCTCCCTCCCCTCGCAGGAGATCCTCTCCCGTCAGGCGGGAGCGGAAGCGCAGCCACTCGCGCTCCCCACACCACAGAACCAAGAGCCGCAGCGTCACCCCGGCACCTGAGAAGAAAGAGGCAACTCCTGAGCCAGAACCCTCTGTGAAACCAAAGGAGACTGTTGTTCAAGAGGCAACCTCAAACAGGTACATGTGAAAACTTGGTCTGTAGGACTAATATTACCTCTTAAAAAATGGAAATTGTCTTAATACCCGTTTGGAGCTTGACTTGGGGGAATGCCTGCTTCTCCCCTGCAGTGGCCAAAGAATTTATTAAATCATCTTCAGTAAGAATACTTTTTTCCTATGTAGAATTCTAAAGGCAGAGTGCTTAACTGCTGCTCTCCTTTCATTGCCCTGGTCATCTTTTCCACGTCTGACAATGTCATCTTGTTTGCTAGCAGGGTGACAACATAACTTGCATAGACTTCTCTTTGAATCATTTTAAGTTCTTTTAATTTTTTGCACAGTTTTTGAGCAGAATGTCTAGCATCTTGTCAGAGGATGGGCAGGTGAATGTTCATAGCAGGGGAATAACTTGGCAGCTTCTAAAATGTTACTCTGGGAACTATGGTTTGTATGCGCTTATAAATCAGGTCTTTGTTTTTAACAGTGATATCCCAAAAGCTCCTAAACCTGAACCTCCTGTACCAGAGACTAAGGAAGCTTCACCAGAACGTAATTCAAAGAAGGAGAGAGAGAAGGAAAAAGAGAAGACCCGTCAGAGATCCCCATCTCGGTCCAAGTCAAGGTCAAGGTCTCGATCACGTTCTCCATCTCATTCTCGACCAAGAAGGCGTCATAGATCACGGTCAAGGTGGGACTTTATATTTGTCTGGATTGTGAAGGTTGAGAACTGAGTATTTTCTTCTGAAGGTGCCACTTCATGCAATGTTCTCATTTCCAGTAATGAGGTTTTCAGAGTTGTTGAGGTCATTTTAGGCCAAACAAAAAAAGATGCTTTCCATGATTAAGTGTGTTCAGGAGTTGCTGACAGTAACTAACACTGACTGGACAAGGTATGGGATCCTGCCTGCAGAGTCTGAGCTTGTTAGATAGTGGGAATCATGTAGCTTTCTTTTAGGAGATAGGTCTGATGCTGAGAATGTTGTAAATTACATTTTTCCTTTTATTGGATTATTTTACTTCTTAGTAGAGAGATGTTGATAAACTTTATAGCACTGCATGTGTCTGAATGAACCACTTTGCATTACAATCTAAATGCTGCTTCAATGTGATGCACCTGGAGAAAAGCAACTTCATGCTCAGTGTCTTGAGGATCAAGTTCCTCAAATCTCACGATTAGGTAGTTCCTTTTCATTTGAATTTTTGATTGTGACAAGTCTTACTCTCCTAGAAGGCGACCAAGCCCGAGACGACGGCCATCTCCAAGGAGAAGGAGCCCTCCAAGGAGAATGCCTCCCCCACCCAGACACAGAAGAAGCAGATCCCCTGTCAGGCGGTAAGATTCTCTTTTTTGAGACAAATGAAAATGTTTTAACTTTGAGAAGGTCACATGAGTTTTGAGGAATGAGTGTTATCAAAATTACCTTTTTCACCTTAGTGTTGGCGGGTGTATGACCTGAGTGATGTAAAAACTGCAGGGTAGTGTTTCAGCAATGTGTTCTGGGGGAACATTCTAGCTGTGAAATTACTTCTTTTGAGTTGAAGTAGTGATGAGAATTCCACCTTTTTTGAGAAGTGGCAGTTTCATAACTGGAACTTCAAATGGCTCTGTACAGTTCCCAGCACAGATTGACATGACATCTTTTATGACTTTTTTTGCTTTGAGTCTTAAACCATATTTTTTTTCCTGTGTGGGGAAAAAAAAATTAACAAGTAACTGGATTCTACATTTTGGGAGTTTTTTTACTTATAACTTCTACCACATAAAATGAAAATAAAAATTAAATTTTGACTTGAAATGTGTTTCTTCATGTTCTTTTATGTAAAAAAAAAATAATCTTCAAGTCTGCTCCCTGGTGTTAGAGATGACATTTTTGACAGCATAAGCAATTGTTATAGGAGCAAAGCTCTGAGTCTTCATAGGAAGGGAATGGATTCCTGCCCTCTTCATAGGAAGAGAATTTAAGTTCTGCTTCCTGTGTGCAGCAGTTGCTCTTTCTCAGTTGGAATAGTTCTCCCTTTTTATGACAATGTGGTGACTTCTGTTTTTTTCCAAGTTTGTCAAGATGTTGATTTCCCACAGTTACTGGGAAAACTGTGAAAAGTATCAAATATGTGTGTTGCAAGATGTACAAGAGCTCCCTTTCAGCAAATGTTTATCTCACTCAAGGTAGGGTTTCTTTTTTCCAGGTTCTCAGGAATTCTGCAGCCAAAGGTGGATTCTGCAGGTACACAATTGCAACAGAACTTGCCACAAATTTTGCCGCAGAATTCTAGAGGCCCTACCTTTTTAAAATTATAAAGTTAAGATGGAAGACTAGAACATAAGAATAGATAGATTGGTTCTGACTTGCTAAGTTGTCTGAAATTTTTACCTCCTGGTATAAAAAGCTTTTTAGTGTGCTTGCACACTGAACTCCTAAAACAGTCAGTTCTGAAGATGAGTAAATCAGACGTGCTAACACAGAGAACTCTCTTAACAAGCAAAAAGTTAGAAAACCCAAACAAAACTAATTCTGCCAGGAGAAAAGCTCAGTTGTAGCCCCTAGACTGACAGAAGGCAAGCAAAGGTGACACTAACAATTTTTTGCTCACTGTGTAGTTTAAAAATAACCGTGAAAGATTGGTTGGTATTCTCCTTCAAACAAAGTGTGGAAGGCTGTCCACCATGTTTTGGAAGTGCTGTTGTATGTGGCTCTATATATGTGCTTGCAAACAAATGCAGTTCTTTGTTCATGCTCAAACACTTCTGAAGTCAGGTTCTAATTCTAATATTTGATTTACAGGAGAAGAAGGTCATCAGCATCCCTCTCTGGCAGTAGCTCTTCCTCCTCCTCCTCACGTTCCCGATCGCCACCAAAGAAACCACCCAAAAGAACTGTATCCAGCCCTCCTCGGAAAACTCGTAGGCTCTCTCCATCTGCCAGCCCCCCAAGGAGGAGGCACAGACCATCCCCACCAGCAAGTCCACCTCCAAAACCACGTAGGTCTCCAACACCCCAGCAGTCCAATCGGGCAAGAAAAAGCCGTGGTTCTGTTTCACCTGGCAGAGCATCAGGTAATCGGAATGAAAAAATTGTCTTCCAGCAGCTTTTATTATTTTGTGCTTTTGGTTCCTCCAAGGTGGTGTGTGCAGTTTGTATGAGCAGGAATGCATGCAGGAATGTAACAAATTGCAACTGAGTTATTTGACTTTGTCTTTTAGCAACCAAACATAAGAGTACTGAAAAAAGAGAATCTCCTTCGCCAGCACCGAAACCAAGGAAAGCAGAACTCTCTGAATCAGGTGAGACTCTCACTTTTCAAGACTGGTTTTGGGTGGGTTTTTAATCAAAGATGCACAACAACAAAATGCACTTGTTGAAGTGCTGATCCCTCTTTGATAGACTGGCACTGAAAGCAAGAGTTTTCAGAAACAAAGATGATCACTCATACTGCTTCAAATATTTCTATCCAAGTTTTCTTGGAAAAAAGCTCAGCCAAAGGATCTTCCAGCCTCAGTCTTATCTTAAGATTTAAAAAAAACCAAACACATGCTTGCTGGTGTACTATAATATGACTTTTGCCTGAATAAGGCAAATTTGTATCCTCAGCTTAAATATTCTATCCATGTTTGTACCTTTTCAGAAGAAGATAAAGGAGGCAAAATGGCTGCAGCAGATTCAGTTCAACAGAGGCGTCAGTACAGAAGGCAAAACCAACAGTCTTCATCTGGTATGGATGGCATGGATTTCCTAAAGCTGGGTTGCAGTTTATTTTCATAGGGAGTAATTAATGTTAAATACTGATGAAAATGATTTGCTCTGTGCTGTTATAAACTTAATTGTAGATTTGCCACCTATAATGAAGTCACTTTAATTATTACTCATGAAGATTAAAGTATAATTTTTCGAGATTGTTTTGTATCTCTTAATTGGTTTATATCTTTGAAATTTGCACTTTTAAACTCTTACCATCACAGATAAATATTGCTTGCTATGGATTAGTGGATCTGTTGCTGCAATGAGTTATTTCCTAATATATTGGACTCTTGCATGCTTGAGATTGGTACATTAATCTTGGTCTGGTGTAGGTTTTTGTCCGCTTAATGTATCTGTAAATAATTGCAGCTCATCTTTTTTAATTACCTGGCTGGTGACATTTTATGTGGACAGTTATGCTTCTGCAAATATTTTTACTCACTTCTGATGGATTTATTTAATACTTTACTCCAACCCTCATGTTTAGTTGAATGGCCTTTAAATAGAGGCTGCTTACATTGTGGGAGTGGAGCTTAGTAGTTTAAACTGCTTTAAACAGTTACTATCAGTAACTGTTAATATTGTTGTGAGAATCATTTTCCAGAGAGTGATTCTTCTACGTTTGTAGATTCTGGTTCTTCATCTTCATCAGAGGAGGAAAGACCCAAAAGATCCAACGTGAAGAACGGGGAGGTCGGCAGGCGCCGGCACCATTCGCATTCCCGCAGCCCTTCACCATCTCCGCGGAAACGACAGAAGGAATCCTCCCCTCGGTAATTCCTTCTGAAGTTGAACCTGACATCTCTTTTCTTAACTCTTTAATTCATGTTTATCTGCCCTGCAATTGTCAGCAAATCCACAACAGAATTAAGCTGTGTCCAGTTTGCCCAATCTTGTTTCAAGATTGCATTCTTGTTATGCTCATTTGTTAAGAATTACCCTGAAGTTTTGATTTGAAGATGTTTTTTGCTTCAAATACATGGCAGATAGATTTGTCTTGTTTTGCTTTCCCTCCACTGCTATCAGGATGCAGATGGAAAAGAGGTGGCAATCGCCAGTGATGAAAAGGTTGGTTAGAAATTGATCTGTTCAAAAGGATTTACACATAGAAAATCATTTAGTCAGGCTCTCATTTATTTTGTCATGGATAAGTACTTGCCATCCTTTGGACTTGCACACTTGAAGTAGTAAGGTGAAGGAAATTCAGACTAATGCATTCCTTAATGTGTTGGATCTGGGACCATTTCACTGGCAAAAAAAAAAAAACTTTCATTGTTCACTGTGTGTTAATTGACATAAGCATCTGACAGCTAATAACTCTAATGTTACTAGATTCTCACTGATATCTGAAAACAGCTGAACACTTGTGCACTTCAGAGCTTTTCTTATTCCACACATAGATATTTGAATGATTTGTGAGTGTGACTTTGTGTTCTTGCTGCCATTGATATTCTGGTTAAAACACTTCCACAGACTGCAACAAGGGATGGAGATCTGGGTCACAGATAATTAGAATTTTCATAAGTCTCATTCATTAGATATTTGGAACTCCCAAGTAGTAGACTAATAGCAAACACCTACTTTGTTTTCTTATGTAGGCAGTATTGTTAACACTTCTTTGGGAAATTGTTTGCTCTCTTGATCTCAGAATATAGGAAGGTGCACAGTACTGTGCTTACTTAGTTTATTAATCTGATATAATGACCCTTGTGAGCAATCAGTAATTAAGACCTAGGTGGAAGATAGTTGCAGCACACTTAATGATGGATGAGATTAGGTATGACTACTGCAAGTTTAGATCATTCTAATTATGGATCTTGTCAAACAATTCTGTGTAAAACAGGTTAGAATTCAAATATCTTAATCTGTTTTGTAACATTAAATTTGCCTGTTGTGTAAATACACTTTTAATTAGGACAGCCACAACATTGGAAGGTTGGTATTTTTTTGGATCATAAAAGAACATCATTGTCTTTTGAAGCAAGCTCTTGGTAAAAATTGAAACTCATTGCCTTGCAGAATGACAAGCCAGCATATTTGAAATCAAATCTCAATTTAAGTAGATGAGCTTTGCTTTTTAATTACTCTCATTTTTTCCTTTACCCAGTCATGTTATCTGGATTGCTTTTTTTATTAAAAAAAAGGAATGTTTTACTTTACAAAGTGCCAATATTCCTCTTCTTTAACACTCTAGGAGGGTCTGTGCTTAAAATTTCCCCTCCCAAAAGTCTGTAGTAAACCTTGCAGAGCAGAAAATGGCTCATTTTGTGAATAATTAGATAGTTTAGCAGCAGCTTTGATTTTTATCTGCATGTCAAGAAACCAGTAATTTTGGGTTTCAGATCCATAGATAAAAGCTGTTTCCAGGAGTAGTTTCACCCTGTTTAGTCCAACTCAGACTGCTACTGAGCTTTGGTCTGCCTGGCACAGCTGAGCATTTCCATTTCCTCCTTTGTGTTGGATCTAACAATCCTGGCTCTGCAGGATAGCAAAGAGGTGGTTTTTGGTTGGATGAGCCTCCTGGGGGTTCAGCAAGCTGGTCTTGACTCATTAGATGATCACTAGATTCCATGCAAGGGAAATGGCAGAAATGAGCTTTCAAGGAGAAAAAAAAATGGGAAGGATTTGGGCTTCCTCTTTGGATACAAGGTACAAATAGACCAGATTAAGCAAAATGTGGAATTGTGTCATGGCTGCTCCAGTGGGCTCTGAAAATTCCAGTGAAATGTGTTCTCACCCTCTTTCAAAAGCGAGTCTTATTTTTTTTTTCAGTCTCCTCATCTTAATTTTGTTTCAAAATGCATGATGATTTAAAGCAGAAGAACAAAATAAGAATCTCGTGATTCCATTGT